TAAATCAACATGCAATATTTCGCACTGAGCTTTTGCTTTCTGGATTTCCTTTCTACTTTCTTCTAGTGCTTCTTCTTCAGTTACCCATCCTGTAGGGGGAGGAAATATTCTTGGAGGTGACCCATACTTCTCAGAGCGAGACACTCTCTTCTTTCTTTTGGGTGTCCCGTACAACACATAGTTATCAAATGAACGCCCAGATGGTTCTCCCAACAAATCTACCCCGCGAACACCTTCTCGATGTAGTTGTTTCAACAAAGTATTGTGCGACACTCCCCTCTTTCTTCTCTCTGCTTCCAAATCAATTTCTTCTTCGATGTCCGTTATACCATCATCATCCTCTTCATTATATACCCCTCGAGATGTTTGGTCTTCTTCACATTCCAGCGCACATGCTTCATCCTCATTATCTTTCCTTTCCTCATCTTCATTTTCTTTGGTTTTGAATTCATTGGCTAATAAATAATTATTAGCCATGACATGAGGTAACGTGCCAAATTGAATAGTGAGGGGTTGCTCTGGATCTTCCTCATATTTCTTCCCTCACTCAAACTTTGATCTTTCAGAAGAATTTTTTGGTAACTCCTCCATTGATTCACTAACACCAGTCTCTTTACTATCTTCGAGAACGTTTTGGTTGGCCACTTCGAGCAGTTTAGGCACCTTAAGACGTGGCAATCCTTGTTGTTGCCTCATCATTCGTCCATAATTCCGTTGAAATCGCCTTTATTGAGTTCTTGTCATCTCATTGAAAGGTGTCATCCTTCCTACATTGTACTGGAATGAATGCCTTACATTTGGTTGGCGAGGTTACTGCCTGAATGTCCTCCCATTATCTATTGGCCTAAACTGCCTCTCAAAAGGCAGTCCCCTATAGAATGATGTACTCGCCCTCTGATAGATTGGATATTTGGGACAAAATCAGGGCGATGGTGATGTTGCCATACTCTTGGTCTCTCCACATTTGCCTTTACTTCTTTTTTGCATCTAGTACACAAGACGCCATCATCTTTTCTAGGCTCTTTCTCTTTGATACGCTCGAAGACGCTGGGATGTGGCTCAAAATCTTCTTCTCCATCGTCTACAACCAACTTAAATTCTAGCAACTTGTTTTTTAAACCTGTCATCACCATGTTCACCCCAAGTGGCTGTGGGAAATGATTTTCATCTACAGCCATTTTAGTTTTAGCTTCGAACGTGATTCACCCAGACTCCATAGCATCATGTAACACATGACGAAAGACCAAACAATTATTAGTTATATGTGACCATGCATTATGCCCTTTTCATATTTTTTACCCTAATATGCTTATCGCTCAATTTTATCTACTTATCCTTATACAGTTTGTCAAATATAATATCAGCTTTGGTCACATCAAACGAAAACGTTCTACCTTTTTTGTTTTCATCTTTTATAGGCTTATTCTTGCCCGACGCTCTGGGTTTGGCCATCATCGGACAAACATACGTATCTCTCTTAATTAATTCGGCTAAACATACTTCAGTTTGATCGTAACATTTGTCATTAATAGTATGAACGTCGAAATTTGGGTCCCTATATAAGTCCCCGTACTAGAGTTTTTCACTTGTTCTTCTTCTCTTATCAATCGTTCATACCTAATCATATTCGTGCTAAGTTGGAAAAGATCAGGAAATTCCGTCCTGGAATTTCTTTTTCAAATCAAAGCTCAAACAATTTTAAGGGATTTTGACGAATTCTTTCTCGGGCAGAGGTACAAAACATTTGCTTCTAACTGTTTTAAATCTCTGAAGGAAACTTTCTGCCCAGTCATTTGACATTTGACGTAAATTCGCCAAATCAGCCAAAGTGATTTCAGATTCAGTCTTATAAAATTGAGCGTGGAACAATTGTTCTAGTTGTTGCCATGTTTGAACATAATTTGCTGGCAAATTAATGAACTAGGAGAAAGTTACTCCTATTAAAGAACTAGGGAACAATCTCATTTTGTGATAGTTAGTTACTTTACTACTTTGCAGTATGAATCGCCCTATATGTTCCAGAGTAGACACTCCTAGACCTGTGAATAATGAAAATTCTGGCACTTTGTACCCTCTAGGCCATGGATATGCCTGATCTATCCAACTATGATATGGTTTTGTATAAGCTGGCCTAATAATAGGACGTACCCCAAAAGCCATTTGATCTTGCACTATTTCCATAATTTGATTCATCAACATAACATTGAGATCATATGGAACTCGTACAAGTTGGTTCATTGGTTGAGTTACTTGAGACCTAATATTTGGTCCTTGGTTGGAGACAAAAACGCCGTTATTTAGATCATTGTTACCGTTAGCTTGAGTGTTTCCGCTATCACTTAGATTTGGGTTATCCCCCAGGCTTGACATTTATTACCACCATTCAAGTTTGACATTCCACTACCCCCTTGGTTTGAAGTAGATGGTCCAGAAGGTGGTTCTATTCCTTGACTTAGGTTCAAACCTGGGGAATTTTGTCCCACAATCGTCCTGGTTTGAAAGTAATTCCCTATTGGTACAACTGATTAACATATTTGGCTCACTAACTTATTCATGATCTCATTTAATATGTTTAGTTATTTGGCCATATTATTATAATGTGCATGCCCATTTTAGGTAAATCTTTCCATATCATGAACATTTCTTAGATTTATCTGTTCAATGACATCCTGTGTAAGTTTCCCAAACAATGCGAGCATGGTTCGAGGACTCAACTCTGTCACTGGCTCGTAACGACTTTGATTTCTTTGACTCCGTCCCTCTGTTCGTGGAAAGCTTTGCTGCTCCTCATATCGCTCGATCACAGACTGGACTACTTCTTGGCTTGCTGGTTCTTTATCAGAATTCTTATGAGGCATAATGTTTTACTTTTTGTATCCTCAAACATCAATTGTCTCGCGCGGGTTATCGCTTACAATTAAAAGATAGGTTGAGACGATTGTGTAAGGAACAAATCTCTTAAGACAAAGTCCCAAAAATGGATACTTTATTTATGAAGATTACAATTGGGAAGAAGCAAAACGCCTCCAAGGGGCACAAGCACACGAAGTAAGTTGAAAGTTTGCACTTAGAAAATAAATGAATTGAAATTACATATTCTCAGTTGAGAGTGATTGATTCGGGGTCCTTCCTTCTATGTCTTCTTTTCTTTTTTATACTCATTTGACGGTTTTCTCTATAGAACTGCTTGGAAACTATTTGGCGCTCTATAACTATCCACTTTCTTCGTGGTGGTTGACTTGTCAAGGAACTACCGTTCGCAACTGTTGTTATTACTCTTGTTGTTTAACCACTTGTAACCAAGATTCTTGGATCGTGGGGTGTGATAAGGTTGCTCAATAACCGCTTCAATAACCATCGTTTTAAGTAATCACAAGACATTGTATTCGCTCAAATCTTGAACGACTCAAAAGCTTGGGTGAGAATGGGATCATCGCTTTGGGTGATAGTAAGATGCTTCATTCGCTTAGATCTTGGACATCCTGCAGGTTTGGGCGATGATAGTACTTTGTTTATGGGCCCGCGCTATATTCTACAATGGTCTCATTTGGGCTTATATCTTGAACTCCCTAATTGGGCTCCAATTCTTGGACCATTTAATTGAGTTTCATTTTTTGTTTGTCAACGCTTGGACATCTAGAGCTCAAACCTCAACACATTTTGAGGAGAACGGCTAGCTATGGATTCGAGTTTATTCAATAAAAGAAAGTGAACAAAGAAAAAAATGATTGAAATTTATAATTGGATTGAGATTTATTTGATTCTTTGGAAGTCTATCAAAATCTACTAGCTGGTACTGGTTTTGTTTTCTTTTATTTCGTTGTTTCCCTCTTCATCGCCTCTCCAAAGAAATGCATAGTCATGGTTCTATAATTTAATAGACGGATCTCCCAAAAAACAATGTTGTATGGTTAAATACAATTAATTACTCGATAATTGCTGTCTTATTATTATTATCATCTGCATTAACATCCAACTATGAAAATTTTAAAAAATTAGCAAAAAAAAAAAAAAAAAATTCGCCCAAAAAACAGGAATCTGAAAGGTGAGAATGAGTAGTAAAGGGGTTAATTCTAGCAACGATCATTGGACGATAATATTTTTAAAAAATTTCGAAATGGTATTTTTCTTATAGTAATTGTCGCTCAATTTTATAATAATTTGGCTAAAAATATTAACCAAAAAAAAAAAAATCCTATTTAGCACATTGAAATGCCAACATGACATAAACGATTTTGGAGCTTGGCGAATAATAATTTAGGGAGTTATGAAAGAATGTTCACGTGGAGAATAATAGCATTAAACATTCAGATGTGAAAACACATTGCACATATACAACTTTAAATTTATAGGTATTTTTCAATTAATTTCTATAAAAAAAAGTACGATTATATTTGACATAACAGGCTAGTTAAGGGTGTTTATGTCTACATTTGCATTGAATATGGCCCATGTGGGATTTTTATGTTTCTAGTTGAGCAACCATTAGTGTACCCATTATAAACTTGCGTTAGCACTAGTGTAAGAAAAATACTTCAATAACCACTTCGAAGGTTTAATAAACTTTAGTGGCTTGTTGCTAAAATTAACTCGAGTAGCAAATGTCTAAAAATCTTGTAGAGTTTGATCTATAGTAGAATTGATCACCTACCACCTATAAATTTTTTCTACTGTTGATGTGACAGATAACCATAAGTAAGGTCTGGTGGTAGGATAAAATTTTTTCACCTTTAATGTGACACAGAGCCATAAGTACAGTTCTCTGAATATATAACTGTTGCATAAACCATAAGTGTTGTTCTCTTGTCAAGTCAGCAGAGAGAAGTTTTTATTCTATTCATCGTGGGCAGGATAGAGATCGTATACTTGTTTCTTGTAGAAATAGTAAGCAACTCGAGAAATAGGTTTGTATGTGATACTAAACTTAAATAATATCAAAAGAAAAAAATTCAAATCGTGCTTACTATAATGTGTAGTCCAATGCAGTATTGTGCACCCCTTTAAATTTTAATGGTTGAGATTCCAATACTTTCATTTTCTTCCAACATTCTAACTTGCTTAGTTAGATTCTCTTTCATTTCAAGAAAATCTTCAAGTTCTGTAGGATAATAGGAGGAAGGCATTGTGCATGGAGATGAATCTGCACGATCTTTCACCATTGAATCAATCCTAAATTTCTTCATCGAACCTTCGACAGAACAAACCATTGTCTCCGAGCACACTTCGACAGCCCCTTTTGGTACAGTTGGTTTATATTTCTGAAGCTTAGAATATTCATTTAGCGAATGGAACATGTAGTCATAAACATATTTCATTCTCAGTTTTTCTTGAACATATTTGCTTCCTGTTTTTCCAATCTCTTGTGCCTGGAAACAGTTCGACAGTAAAAAAAAAATAACAGAAGAATAAGAATCTCTTGTATCATTTGTAACTTTTCATAATAATGTTTAGATGGCTTTCATCCCTTAATGCACAACAGGAAAGAGAAATTAGAAGAGAGATAGAGTGAAGGCAAAGAGAGAACACGAGAGATTTAGGAGAAAAGATTGAGAGCGTTGTAGCTAAGCTCAAATTTGAGTAAGTTACTTTTTCTTGCTTTTAAGTAACAATAGTCACTTTCTTGGAAAGTTGCTCTTTCCTGCAAAAATTCTGTAACTCATTTTTCCAATTTGAACTAATAAACTATTTATGTTACTTGTACGTAGACTTACTTGTAAGTAAACATTTGAAGCTAAGCCATACATATTATCGAGTCTAATTGTAATTCTTATTATTTCTCAAAGTTATCTCGTTTTCCATCACTTCTTCTACTCTCCTACTCTCCGACATTGTCTATCTGGGCGTTAATTGATAGTCATTAAATATCAACTTTCATAGTAGCTGCAATGTATAAACAATATAGAAGCAAAAATGATGGGATGTGTTTAGTATAGACACGAAAGTCACCTTTTTCATATGTTTGTTGCCCCATTTGACTGCGAATTTGATTGATTTACACTTGTCTTTCTCATTAATAGGCCAGTAATGGATTGTGGGAAGCAAACTTCTTGTGAAAAAATCATAGTAACGAGAGTTTATCATCAGACTCATAGAATCACATGCTAAAATGTATTTTTCGCTGACAGACCATGCCACCCCTTCAGCATAAATTTTGTATCTGCATTTGATCAAATTAAAGAATTAAAAAAAATAGACAAATTAAGAAAATTATGTCAAATTCATGCATACCTGTGAGTGCATTGGCTTGCTAAATCTGCAGTTTCAAATCCGTGTTTTATCTCATATCCCCAATCCTGTACCTAGAAATTATCAGTATCTCTAAATAGGGATGTAAAGGTGGTGACTCATGAATGTTATTGGAAGACAGGGATCGTCTGGTCTCATGAAATGAAAGAATCTTTAAGAAAGGTCAACGAAAGAACTCGTTCTTCTGATTTTAGAAATTCTTCTAATATTTCCTAGTTACGGAGATTAAACCAACATGGTATTAGAGTAGGTAAAGATTTCGAATTCTAGTCCTCGTTACTCACTGATGAAAATCCTATGCGTCTCGCTAAGCTAACAGAAGAAGAAGAAAAAATGAAACACATCCCCCGTATGTGAAGTAGGAATTCTTTCTTACTGTTAGGTATTTGATGTAATTGACAAGTTTGTGTATAAAATGGACTAAAATTAATATGTTCTAAAAGTCAAGGAGTAATGTGCAAATAGTAGAAATTGTGTTATATTAGGTTTAGGATTCGAGAATGGAAAAGAAGGGAAAACGGCGCCTCAATTTCGTTAGATTGTCGCTACGACTTGGCTTGAGCATAAAAAATAGTAACACTATCGCTAGCCTATCGCCAGGGCTTCACTCGACATACTGTCGCTAGCCTGTCGCCTAGTTCTCGCTCGAGGGACCTGAGCCGCATCTCCGATACTAACTTTCACGGGGTGTCTTTTTTCTTGGTACAGAAAGGGACACCGTGCGGTAGTAGTATGCTCTGCTAGACT